CTCAGCCTCCTGGTCCTCCAGGTTGGGGGTTGGAATGAGGGTGGCTCCTTATTCCTTAAAACGGACTCCTTGTAGCCCACCGCCAAACCCGCTGCCTTGCGGCCAGGTTTTTGAACCAAAGGCTTTGGTTGAGAACCCTAATCGTTCTCCTGTCTAGGCCTGGGCAACCTGACAGTATCCTGCCCACGCAATACCATGAATTTTTCCTCAAACAAATTTCTGATGCTCTGGCCACCGCAGAGGATAATCAACGGTGCCCTATCTGCTGCATCGAGCAGGGTGGATAGGGGTTTGGATGCTACTGCTCAAGCCTTCCCATCTTATTCCCCTTCTTGCGCTTTTTCACCCTTATCGTCCCGTTCCAGCTTCATTTTTATCCCCCCTGTTTTCAACCCCCTAATTCTCGGCCCTCCCCCACCTTGCTTCAATAGTCGCTTGTCTTTTAGTTTCAACTCACAAGTGAACGCAGAGCGTCATTCCTGCACTGTCAACAGGCCCATGTCCAAGCAAGCGGCCCATTCCAGTTCATCGGCTTCCATTTGGAGCCCTCGATCCTCCTTCAGACTGGCATGCCTCAATGTTCGCACACTGCTACAGATCGGTCAACAGGCAGCACTTGCCCGAACATTAGAGACCCTCTCGATCGATATCTGCTGCTTATCGGAGACCCGCCTGCAAGACTCGAGCTCTGTACTCACTCTGCGATCCCCTTCAGGTGACACTAGCAGCACTTTCACATTGCGCCTATCCGGTGATGATGCAGCTTCGAGCACCGGCCAAGCCGGTGTTGGTATTGCCCTGAGTCCCCGGGCTGAAGCTGCTCTGGTTGATTGGATTCCAATCAGTAGCCGGATGTGTGCGGTCCGATTGGCTGGCTCGTTCAAAACTTCGAAGTCGCGTGGGACTAACAGGTGTCTATTCGTTATCGCTGCCTATGCACCGACAAACTGTAGCGATGACTCGGTAAAAGACGACTTCTATCGCCAACTGAACGAACTCCTTCGCCACAGAAGAAGCTCGGACACTGTAGTGCTGGCTGGAGATCTGAACGCTCAAGTTGGAAAATTATCCACAGATGAGCTGCATCTGGGCGGCCAACATGGTATAGGCTCCCGTAATGATAACGGTGAGCGGTTACTTCATTTGTGTGAGGATGCTCGCTTATTTCTTGCGAGCACTAATTTCCGACACAGCACCCGCCAGAGGGTGACTTGGCGCCCACCAGCCTCGAACCAGCTATGGACGCAAATCGATCACATTGCTATCAGTTACCGCTGGAGAGGCTGCGTCCAGAACTGTCGCTCGATTTGGAGCACAGGTGTTGACACCGATCATGCACTTGTATGTGCTGACCTGCGGATGCGTTTTGGCGGACGCCCGCGACGACCTTGTGAGCGCATTGACACCGGCAGACTGGTGAATCCAGCTGTTCTGAATGCCTATCAAATTACGCTGTCATCCGAGTTGGATAAACGCTCACTGGATGCAATTGAAGCTCACTGGTCTCATATGCAACAGGCCTTACTAGCAGCAGGCAAATCCTCATGTGGTGTGTCTAATCGCCAACATGAACATTGGGTCTCTTCACAGTCTCTGGAACTTATAGATGCTCGCCGGCATATTCCGGCTGGAAGCGAACACAATGAAACTCGCAAAGAGCTCCGGGCAAACCTCCGTGCTAGCCTGAAGAGAGACCGCGAATCCTGGTGGTCTCGTCGTGCAACAGAGATGGAAATGGCCGCTGCCCTTGGTAACCATCGTGAGTTATTCCGTCTTATACGGGAAACGGGCAGCAGGAGACCTGGTGTTAGTGAAACTATACGTGACGAGAGCGGACAGCCTATCCACAACTTATCAAAACGCCTGGAATGTTGGGCTGAGCACTTTGAAAGGCAATTTAATCGGTCGGAATTGTTAGATTTCTCGCCGACCAGTGATCGCCCTGCTCCGTGGGCTGTTCCTTTGGATCCACCCTCTCGCTCAGAAGTGGAACGTGAGATCGAACTGTTGAAGTTAAATAAAGCCGCGGGACCTGATGACCTTCCTCCAGCCCTCTTCAAATTCGGGGGACCTGCTCTTGTGGATGATTTACACGAGTTACTAGTGAGACTGTGGGAGCAGGAGACTGTCCCAACCGATTGGAGCCGCTCCGTCATAGTCCCAATTTTCAAAGGAGGCTCACGATCGGAATGCGGCAGCCATAGAGGAATCAGTCTGATCTCCATCGCCTCAAAATTGCTTGCCTCTCTCATCCTTCACAGACTGACTGGCGCTCGTGAAAGCCAGATTCGCGAAGAGCAAGCTGGGTTTCGTCGAGGTCGTGGCTGCATTGACCACATCTTCACCTTGCGTCAGTTGTTGGAGCACCGTCATACATATTGGCGGCCCACCGTTGTCGTGTTCCTCGATATCAAAGGTGCATTCGATTCGGTGGATAGACATGCACTTTGGGACTGTCTACTCAGGAAAGGTGTACCTGAGAAGTATGTGAATATTATCCGAGCATTATATGCTCGTAGCTCGGGCAGAGTGAGGGCTTACGGCAAGTTGTCGTCGCCCTTTAATATCTCCAGCGGCGTGAGACAAGGATGCCCGCTGTCACCTTTCCTCTTTAACTTCGCTGTTGACGAAGTCATGGAAATCGCGTTCACAGGAGAACGACTTCTTGATTTAGAGTATGCGGATGATATTGCCCCGATCTGTGACAGCTCACAAACGTGCCAAGCGGCACTGGACAGATTAGCACTAGCTGTCTGTCACTTCGGGCTTTGCTTCTCACCCTCGAAGTGCAAAGCGTTTCTCCAAGATTGGTCTGGACCGCCTCCTACGCTGACCCTTGGTGGGGATCAGCTGGAAGTCGTTCAAAAATTCAACTACCTGGGAAGTTGTATCAGCGCCCGTGAAATTGAAGATGAAATCACGAATCGTATAGCAAAAGCTCGGGGCGCTTTTGCTAACCTTCGCCACTTAGGGCGCCGGCGCGACATCACTCTTGCCCTGAAGGGTAGAGTGTACAATGCAGCAGTACGTTCGACCCTACTGTACGGTTGTGAAACCTGACCGCTTAAAGCAGCGGACCTGAAGAGGCTAGTTACGTTCGACCACCGGTGCCTTCGTAATTTAGCTCACATTTGGTGGGAACACCGAGTGAGCAACGAGCGTGTTCGACGCCTTGTTTATGGCACAGGAAAAGGAACTGAACCGCTCAGCACCGTTATTTCACGCATCAGGCTCCGATGGCTCGGCCACGTGTTACGCATGCCAGCCCACCGACTCCCGAGACGTGTGTTGTTTGCGCGCTGGGGGTGTGGATGGAAGAAGAGGAGGGATGGCCAAGCGATGACTTGGTCCAGAGGAATGAAGTCCCTCACTTCTGAGCTGGCCTCGGTTGGAGCGTCTCGGCTCCCTGGTTGGGGTCCAAAAGACGATGAACACGTTTGGTTGGACACACTTGCTGATATGGCAAGGAGCCGACCTCAGTGGCGTTCCTGCTGTGAGTTTCTTTGTCCCACCCCATCCCTCTTAGCCTCCCCCTCCAACCGCGATCTCATTATTTAGTCTTATATAATTTTGCATAATATTTTTTTGGGTGCACAGCAGCCGGCTGGTAGCTTACCGGAACGATGCCCATCCGTTACCGGTAGCTCAGCCAGCTTGCACCAGTTGCATTTTTTCTCCTTTTTTCTATGTATTGCGGCACAGTAGCTGAGGTGTTCCCCACCTCTAGGTAACGTGTATGATGATGATGATGATGATGGAAACTGCGGAGTAAACTAGCTAGTGCTCAGGCTTAATTAAAACGCGTCATTTAAGGCCAGCTAGCAACCGACATCTACGAAGGCACATAAAGGTTCATCTAAAGCCGGTATTTAGCCGGTTTTGGACAATCCTAATGCTAATCTTAAGTGTATCTTCAGCAACAATCGTTTTCTACATCTTATTAAAGGCTTAGGTCTGGTATGATGCCTTTACTAGGCGTACCTTAAAGATCATAAGCTTAATATTCTTTCCACGGACCCAATGGTCGAGGAAGTAGGAAAGTGATACATGTAAAGCTGAAGACAAGGAATGAAGATCTAGATGAGATATAAGGGTTGAAGTTCGCCTGCTGGGATGGCTTGGTCATTACCCTGCGATATCCTATATGAGGAATACCTACAGGTTTGCGAACCAGCCAGTCAGTAGGCTAGGCTGCACTGTTTGTTTAAATTTTTAACCATTGACGAAGTGCCCAGTGAAAAGAGAAGCCGGAGGGTTGTGGATACCAATTGGTTCATGCAGGCTTTGGACCAACGTGTCAGTGAGGGAACCGAAGCACGTCAGGAACTAATCAGTAATGGCTAAATACCTTTTGCATTCAGAATTTTAATGTTAGCACCTGTACGATGGGTGCGACTGATCCGACTGAGACCTCCTGGGGCTTGTGATTGCGGTAATGGATAAGATAGAAACAAGGGGTCATTGATGGAGACAATTCATGGAGGGTATCCCTTAGTATCCCTTACAGAATACTTTTGTGGTGGCGTCTACTCTTTCTATAGTGTAATCATAGGGCGGAATTGTTCGTAGGATAGCGCCTCATAAGAGGGGGGTAAGGTAGCGCGTCAGTGTCGCCGTAGCAAGCCAACAGGTAAGATGTCGTCGAGCGTAGTCTAGATTGTGATTGTCGTTTCTCATTCCCTTTGCCTACTTTTTTCATCTGTGGTGTTTTTAGCGCAGCTATCTCCCGTACGTACTTTCTCGCCATTCATCCAGTCACCATACGCTCGGTCCTCCATCGGCACCTGTGACAGCGCCGTCCAGCTCGGCACGATGCGCATACAGGCACGCCCTCCATCCATCTTCGGCTCGTACTAGATGGTTGTGATGTAACTGTCCAGCCGCCTACGAAATGTCTCTTTTGCCTTTCAGCCCCTCGGTCTATTACGACCCGCGTACACCCCGGACACGGTAGCTATCGAAACCCCCATTCGGACGCATACTACACTCTTGATTCTGTCATGGTCGACGTGTACCTTTATGTCTATGATCTCTCTTGTGGTGCTGCTCAGACCCTCGGACCTTTAATTTTAGGTAATTTGGCATCTATTTTTACACTTTTTACAGGCAGACCTGTTGGAGGCATTTGGCACACAAGCGTCGTGGTTTTTAACAAAGAATTTTTCTACGGAAGTCACGGGATATCCTACTGCCCTCCAGTTCGTTTACTTTCCTTGTTTGTTCAGCTTTTTGTACGCACGTTAAATTCCACCTGGGGTGAATACTTCTACACGTGTAAAAACTGATGTAAAGTAGTATAGTAGGGGCATCTCCAGCCGCATCCTAAACTAGTGACACCCTATAGTAGCATTGTTTATGGCATTTCATATAGTATCATCCTCTCCGATATGTTACTCACATTCCGCATTGTAACCGTCGTCCAAATGCAACTGGTGTCGTTGCTTAGCTGAACAAGAAATAATCGATTCCGGCCGGATCAGGTTAGAACAACTATCGCTGCGCGCTTGCATACGGTAGGTGTGAAGACAGTTTGCTGCGGACGAATGTGTGGCAGAATGTCCCGCTTCCAGGAGCATAGAACGGTATGTACATTAAAATTGTAAGATGCAGACAACAGTAGTTAGACCATTGTCCTTCGAAACCGTTAATTTCTACTGTTTTTCCCCCATGTTTGCGCGCTACGTAATGGATTATAACCTTTTACTAAGGTAAACTTCGACCACTGCATTATCCTCCTTTTCTGAGATATCACGCTGTATGGAATCCTTGAGGAATTGATTCGCATCTGGCTCCCAATCTCTGCGTTCCGTTTCTGAGTCCCCTTTCCTGCACGGGTTTGCGCCCTCACGAATCTTTCCACCCCACGTACAGTCGCAAACGTTTGCATGGCGGCGCAAGGGTAAATACTACTGCTGTACCGCCGAAATCTTGGTTTTTGCTAGAATATCAAGCCGGAATATCAACGTAAGTTTTTAAAGCGCATAGCTTACTTTCCGGAGATATAGGTATGGTTAGTTCACCTCCAAAGGGGCGGAATTGCCTTCAATTTAATTATCTTGGGCAGCACCGATCGTTTCACTAGAGAACGCTGATGGCCCAGTACGCATTTGTTCCACAGGCGGATGACTATTAAGCAACAATTTCTGGAGGTCCAAAGTTTTCCAAATTTGCTTTACACCACGCACACTCACATAGGACGATGTGAGGCCACAACGTCGGTCTGCGACTGTAGAGGTGAGGCATCTGCTCTGTATCCCAAAACTCATCAGTTCGGATCTGGGTAGCTGCGGTCGACCTCGCGGTACCGCTAGCTAGCACATGACTAGTAATGGTCGCGCGGCGGCGTAGCTTCGCTAAGGCGCACCGGCGTACTTCCCATGATGCTATAGCAATCAGTACGCACTGTTACATGCATTTTTGTAACGCAAGCTTCTCGAAGTTCCTGTCTTTATTCACCCTGGAATTTCTTAACCCAACCTTCCGGTCGAGGCAGCTCGGCCACGTACGTGTCCCCCTTTGTCTATGTCCGCACCGTTTTCTATCTGCACCTATTCTTAACTAAACTATGTTATGTATACACATTCAAACCTCGCTTTGACCATTTCCACTCTTCACTCAGGGACACTAGCTCAGCCTGATTTTGTGTTTGACAATGCCTCGTACCATTGTGAATTTAGTCGCGGCGCTTTGCCGCCGGACGATTGCCTGCGTGGACTGGTTGATTGGTTTATCGATTGTACGACTTCAATGTGCCTGTGGCATAGCGATAAGACTGGACCTTAATGTGGCGCTTTGGTTTGTGTGCCTTAGTGATCCATTGAGCTATGCTGGGTGGTGCCTTTTGCACCTTCAGAGCCACTCATACCAGATAGGTCAGTGGTTAGAGGCCAGACAAACTCAGTCTCCTGACCCTCCAGGTTGGGGGTTGGAGTGAGCGTGGCTCCTTGCTCCATAAAACGGGCTCTCTGTGGTCCAGTGCCAAAACCCCGCTGCCTTGCGGTAAGGTTTTTGAGCCAAAGGCTTTGGCTGAGAACCCTAATCGTTCTACTGTCTAGGCCTGGACAACCTAACAGTATTTTATCCACGCAATACACCATGACCTTTCCTTCTAACAATCTCTTGACGCTCTGACCGTCACATAGGATGATAAACGGCGCCCTATCTGCCGCATCAAGCAGAGTGGATAGGGGTTTGGATGCTACTGCTCAGGCCTTCCTGCCTTCTTATTCCCCCTCTTGCGCTTTTTCATCCTTAGCGTCCTGTTCTAACTGCACTTTCATCCCCCCGTTTTCAATCCCCCAATTCTTGCTCCTCCCCCACCTTGCTTGAATATTCGCTTGTCTTCTGGTCTCAACTTACACACAATTTTTATAACGTTTCTCACCATATTTCGAAAAACCTGTACAGAATTCATTTTTACTTGCTCTACAATACAATATACAGTATTCAAACACAATCGCATGGCGTCGCTCCAATCCAAGCGACAAGTCCATGTTCAACCAAGTGGACAACGTCAGTTCATCCGTTTCCCTTTGGAGTTCTCGATCCTCACTAAGACTGGCATGTCTCAGCGTGCTCACTTTGCTACTGATTGACCAATAGGCAGCACTGGCCAGTGCACTCGAGACGGTCTCTATCGGTATTTGCAGTTCATCGGAAACCCGCCTGCTAGGTTCGAGCTCCGTGCTTACTCTGCGATCCCCCACATGCGACACTGGCGGCACATTCTCATTGCGCCTGTCTGGTGATGATGCAGCTTCAAATGCCGGTCAAGCTGCCGTCGGCATTGTCTTGAGTCCCCGGGCTGAAGCTGCCCTGGTCGACTGGATCCCTGTCAACAGCCGGATGTACGTCAGCTTGGCTGGCTCGTTCCAAGCTTCGAAGGCGCTCGGGGAAAACAATGTCTGTTTGTCACTGCGGCCTGCGCCCCACAAACTGCAGCCCTGATTCGGTGAAAGGTGATTTCTATCACCAACTTAACGATCTGCTTCGTTACAGAAGAAGCACGGATACTGTGGTGCTTCCTGGTGATTAAAACGCCGAAGTTGGGAAATTGTTCTCTGATGAGCTTCATCTGGGTGGCCAACATGGTGTAGGCTCCCGTAATGATAACGGTGGGCGATTGCTACACCTGTGTGAAGGTGCTCGTCTCTTACTCGCGACCACTAACTTTCGACAGCACCCGCAGTAGAGTGACTTGGTACCCACCAGTCTCGGGCCAACCATGAACGCAAACCGATCACCGCGATTAGCTACCACAAGAGAAGCTGTGTCCAAAACTGTCGCCCGTGTTGAAGCACTAGCGTGGACTCCGATCACGCTCTCATGTGGGCTGACCTGCGGGTGCGTTTTGGCGGACGTCCGCAACGTCACTTTGAGCGCATTTATATCAGTTAGGCGAAGCAGGGTCTTCTGAATGCGCATCAAACTACGCTGACATCTGGGCTGAGTAAGCGTCCACCAAACTTCGTCGAAGATCACTGGTCGCATATTCACTAAACGTTACTATCAGCAGGCGTGTCTTCGTGTGACAGATCAAATTGCCAAACTGCACATTGCGTCTTTACACAGTCTCTGGAACTTATGGATGCTCGACGACGTATTCCGACTGCATTAGAATACCTTGAGACTCGTAAATATCTCAGAGCAAAACTGCGTGCTAGCCTGAAGAAAGACATTGCCTTCATATATGACAGCTACCAAACCTGCCAGGCTGCACTGGACCGATTAGCACATGCTGTCTACAGTTTTGGGCCATGTTTTGCTTTATCGAAATGCAAAGTACTTCTCCAAGATTAGCGGGGACCTACCCCTGAGCTAACACATTTTGATGATCAGCTAGAAGTTGTACAGGAACGCAAGTACCTGGGCAGCTATATTAGCGCCCTTGGAAGTGAAGATGAGGTTACGTACCGTATAGTAAAAACTCGAGTTGCTTTTTCAATCTCCGCCAGCTGAAGGGTTGAGTGTATAATGCAGCCGTCCGTTCAGATCTCTTCTACGGTTGTGAAACCTGGCCCATCAGGTCGACAGACATCATGAGACTCGTCACATTCGACCATCGCTATCTTCGCAGCTTAGCTCAAGTCTGTTGGGAGCATCGCGTGGGCAATGAGCGTGTTGGCGTCGCATATTTGGTGCAGGAAGAGCGAGTGAACCGCTCAGCACTATTATATCACGCAGCAGGCTCCGATGGCTGGGCCACGTGTTGCACATGCCAGCACACCGACTGGCGCAACGCGCATTGTTTGCGCGTTGTGGGTGCGGTTGGAAGAGGAGGAGGTGAGGCCAAGCGATGACTTGGTCGAGAGAACTGAAAACCCTCACTTCGAAGTTGGCATCGGTTGATGCTTCTCGACTGCCTGGCTGGGGTCCTAAGGACGATGAACACGTTTTGTTGGACACACTTGCTGATATGGCGAAGAGCCGGTCGCAATGGCGTTTGTGTTGTGCGTTTCTTTGTCCATACCCCATCCTTTAGGTTCCCCCTCCAATCACGATCTCATTCGTTAGGCGTAATATAACTCTCTTTTACTTCACGATAGCCGGCCGTTAGCTCTCCGGAACGATGCCCATCCCTTACTGGGGACTCTTCCGTCGTGCCTCTTACTTTCTTCTTGTCTTTTCTATTGCGGCACAATAGCTGAGGTGTTTTCCGCGTGCATCTAACGTGTATAATGATGATGATGATGATGATGATGATGATATGGCATAGCTCCAGTGTGTCCATGTGACCGGTACGTTTAGATACGCTGGCCCTTTTGAGTTGCATTGCTCCTGATTATTTCATTTTGGTTTGGACACTGTTTTCGTTAGTATTTGCTTTGTTACTCCAATCCGCAGTAAAAATAGCAATCGTAGTTAATCCCAGTTTTGTTTTCTTAATTTAACCGAGGATTTTTACAATTCGCTCAAAGGCAATACCGAATTGTCGGTATGTATGTATGGTGCGCTGAGACTGGTGGTGGCTAGATCCTGACAGATGGTCTACCCACTGCTACTACTGTTGTGCCATGGGCTCATGTTCTGGACGCCTCTTCGTGGCGACTGCTGGGTGGGAGTTGGGTTACACCTTATTCCCTGCCAAGATCCAGAACACCAATCCGCATGAGTCAATGAACTGACCACGTGCTAGACCCTCTGCCTTTCGGGTGTACCTTTAATGGTAACCTTTGCTTGAGGACCCGAGTCGTTCTCT